GAGAAGGTCTGAGACCATATGACATGTTTGGAAAGCACTGAGCTATAGTTGGATCATAAGGTGTGCAGGGAGAAATAAAAGGAGACACTAGAAAGGTAGGATTAGGCCCACATAAAGGGCTTACTATTCATGGTAATAACTTCGAAGTTTAGGTGCAGGAGCCACTGAAAATTTTTGAGGCGAGTGGCTAATATATCCAGTCTGTATTTCAAGAAGATAAGCCTTACACGAGTGTGAAGTGTGGGTTGTAGAGTAGCTTGCTTAAAGCATGCTGTGGGGAAAACAGATCTTCCTTTTATTCATAAAAGAGACATGAATAATATTAGTTACTCTGCGTATCAACTTCCTTTGGTAGCTTTTCAGAAGCTGTCAGTTCAACCCCCAGTTCCACTGACTGGTCCAATGAAAGGCTGTATCTCTTGTTCCCCATCCCCCACTATTTTATTAACAATATACAATAGTTGGACAACAGGTACCTGTCCCAAACAGTATGCTTATCAGAAGCTTGGTTTAGAGAAACACTATTTATGGGAGTTAGCCTGGAGGATATTTAGACCAGTCATTTCTGTACCTCTTTCCAGATCATCAGAGTAGCACACCTACACTACAGTGTTTTGCTTTCCTCTGCCTTCTTCTTGATTCACAATTACTCTCTTTGAAATATTCTTCAGTTTTATGGCATCAGCCTAGGGAGAAGGTCATTGTGTCATTGTGGCATTTACTATAATAATACGGTCGAGGACATAGATTATTCACTGTTATACAACATCTCTCTCTCAGAATCTGGAGGAGAAATTTCTCTCAGACATCAGTTCTAAGAATAATTTTGTTTTTCCTTAGCACAATTAGCTTGTTTTTATCTTATGGACACCGTGAATCATTTGACTGCACTGTCCAGTGTGCCCTGGCTGCAAGGAAGCTCAGAGACCATTTATCAAAAAGACCATTATTTTTGCACTACACTGCAGCGTTAACTTTTATGATATTAGGTGACTATACATGTGTGAGAATTTTGATGTATTATCTTTTATTTTATCTCACTATATCCTCTTTTTCCCCCTATAAGCTGGAATCTAACATAAGGTGAGCAGCATAATGTGGTGGTTGAGAAGTCAGACAGATATAAGTTCAAATCTCACATTTGCCTCTTTAACAGCTATTGACCTTGAGTGGATAATTTTTCTAAGCATCGGACTCCTCATTTGTAAAATAAAGGTTTTTCTGAGAATCAGATGAAATAGCAGTCATAAAGCATCCAGCATATGTTAATCCTTAAGAGGTAGTAGATATTATATGCTTATTTAAGCAATTCTAGTGAATTCACATTGGTTTCATTTGCAGATTTGGGGGTTTTGGGGGGGTTATTTATTAAGGTAATTTGAGATACTTAGATATATATGTTCTTTTCTCCTTGGTTTATATTTGCCTTTTTCCTGATGCTTTACATGTAACTCAGTATTTTATTCTGTTTATTTCCTTTAAGCCATATCAATACCTTTGAAGAATAATGTAGGCTATTTAAAAGCATTGGAGAGATATCTTAGAATATTGTAAAAGTGGGATTGTGAATAACCTAAATAAGAGCTTGTCTTAGTACAGGCTGCTATAACAAACTACGGTAAACTAGGTAGTTTATAAATGACAGAAATTCATTTTTCATAGTTGTGGAAGCTCGAAGTCCAAGATTAAGGTTCTGGCAGCTTCGGTATCTGGTGAGAACCTACTTCCTGGTGTGTAGGCGGCCATCTTCTAGCTGTGTTCTCACATGGCAGAAGGGGTGAGTGAGCTCTCTGGGGTCTCCTAAGAGATTAGGAGGCTGTACATATGTGGGGGCAGGAAGTATGTAGGAAATCTCTGTACCTTCTGTCTAGTTTTGCTGTGAACCTAAAACTGCTATAAAAAGTAAAGTCTACTAAAAAAAAATTAAGAGATTAGAAACGGGTTTAGTTACTTTCCCAAGGATACACAGCTCCTAAAGAATCCCTTACCCCCAAACCTGACTCAGAACTGGTATTTTTTCTGTTCAGTATGAGCAACATTTTCTTCTTTACTATGCGCCACAGACTATGTTAGGCACTGCCTATATGAAGATGAGTAAGACGTGATGGTCAATATGAAGGAAGCTATAGTATAGTGGAAGGTAAAATTTTAATTCAGTGATAAATATTGTTATAGAGTTTAGGAAAGCCTTCTCAGAGGTGAACCCCCACATGAGAGATGAATAAGTAGTATAACATAAAAGAAGTATATCCTGCTTTTCTCTGAGACCTCTACAAAAGTGATCTACTTTATATAATGCCACATTGTAATTAACAAAGCCTATTTAGGTGTGGCAATATATAGTGGAAAATATAGCCTGGTTATTTCGTAAAGATGTCTTGAGTAAATTTTTCTCTTCTCCTCCAACCTCACCACCACTACCAGGAATGGTGGGCAAAATTTCCATAGTACAAGGTTACTTATGTTTCTTCCAGGCCCTCCAGAAAGAAAGAAAAAAGGGCAGCTGTAAAGGGCTTCTTGGACCAGATCCCTTTAAGAAGATTAAGTATTCCCCAGAGAGCATCTTGGAACTTTTTAAACTGCTTCTGTAAACTTTGACTTTGGAGAAAAGCTCTTGACAGCTCTCTTTCTGGGCAAATTGTGACACTTCTGACTTTAGCTATGCTGATCTGTCTTGCCTTTTCTTTAATTGGTCAACCATATGTTCATCTGTTTCTCTGTCCTCGTGACTGACTTCTGACTCTCAGCTTTCTCTGTCCTGCTTTCCTGGTTCTTTTCCAGCCACCTGACCTGCTGTGGCCTCAGATTTCAAGCTCTGACCTGCTAACCTCTACAGTGCATGCCCAGCTCCTGGCTGGCGGCCAGCCTGTCCACCAGCCCCATCCTAGGCCAGGGCATTTGATTGCTTGGTAGCAATGACTTACTTTACCTTCCCCCACCAAACATGTGTAGTGAGGCACACCAGCATGAAGAGAGGCAATGACAAGCCATGAAAGGGAAAGAAAAAAAGAGACCTTTTAGGAAAGGTCTAGAGGGGAAAAAATATCTAATATGTTTAAAAACAGCCCTCAAAAGTTCATTCATTCAGTAAATGTTTAAGTGCCTTCTGTATGTCAGGCATTGTGCTGGGTAATAGGCATATAAGATGAATAAGGAGAATAGTTGAGATTCCAAAAACTATTCATCTGAAGCACTTTTACAGCACGTTTTTATCCCTTTGTTATCATAGTTGTCACATAGTTTTATGCTAGATAAGGAAGTTTTTGTAACTAAACTCTTGGTGTTTTCTTAATTTAGATTCCAAGGTTGTTGTACCCAAAATACTGTTTTTAGGTTGAAGTTGAATTATAGCTATTGACCTGTGAATTTAGGATTGTCAGGCAATAAAAGTCTAGTATAAAATCTTATGTGTATCTACTGTATCAAAACAGAAGAAATGATTCCCTATACTCGGGCACATGCTCTCATATTCTGGAAGCAAGGCTGTCAGGAAAATGATGAAGTTTTCCAAATGTTGCTTTCAGTTTGTGAAAAGAGGCTGTTGGGTATTTGTGGGCCTTTACCCTTAGTGTGAGCTAGCCAGCCATCTGGTAACACTGGTCAGGAGTGGGTGGCAAAGTCAAAGCTTTTAAAGGGTAAGCAGATAAATGTATTGGGGTAGGGATGGGGCACTGAATACAAGAATGAGATGTTTTAAAATAGTATATTGTCAAATATATTATTTTATATTTATATTGTCCAACGATGAGGATGATAGCATTTACGAGTCACACTCAGCTTCTGGCCTTAGTTATCTTGGGAATCAGGCTATTCTCTTAATGGAAATTGGGAAAATTGATATACTCATATACACAATAAGGCAATAGAAAATGCTACTATTACCAAGAATTCTCCCAAATGCAGTCAATATTTGGTATGTGAAATTCTACTCTTATTTTTTTCTTCAGAATCAGGAAAGGCCAATCTACATTCAACATTTATTCCAAAAAAATTAAATAAGTATGGTTGTAGACCATTCAACTGTAGAGCTCGAACAAAAAAAAACAAAACAAAAAACCCCCAGGCTATTAATATCTCATATTACCTGAAGACAAATTTTGAATTAACCATATACAATCTCCCATATTGCAGTCTTGAAAATAGAGTCTGCAGCCAATAAATCAGTGCTCTGCAAACATATGAAAAATTCTGAGTTCTCACTTAGTGTGTTTGACATATGATCCACTACTGGGAAAATCTCAGTGGAGTTTATTTAAAACATAATTGTTTGGTGATACAGAATTTGACTCAGAATCAGATATGAATTAGAATCAGATATGGTGAGGGATGAATAAAACTGAAAAACTCATCATAGCAGCTGGAAGAGCCTGGCAAAGTTAACTCCTTTAAGAAAAGAGATTTTTGTATTTAGCTAATACTATTTCTTATATCTGTTAGACACTTTATATATATTCAAGATCAAATTTAGGCACTGAGCAGAGCAAGCTTTTATTTTTCTTTAAAACTCACATTTTGCCAAGAAGCAATAATGTGTGTTCTCCATCAAAATAAACAATAAAAAAAAATTCAGTGCAAAATAAAATTCATTGAACAACCTGTCTTCAATGATTTTTAATTGTCTTGACTTTTTTATAATCCCATCCCAGGGTCTAATGGCTATTGATTGCCCATATACCGGCATTGTGGACTATCGTCAGGTGGCTTTGTCTTTTGCCCAGGATTTCCAAGAAGCAGGTGGTTCTGTCTTGACCAATTTTGAAGTAAAAGATATTGAAATGGCTGGAGAAAGTCCTTCAAGAAGTAAAGATGGTAAGCCATCCTTGTCTTTTCTTTTGGATACTTGTATTGACTTCCAAACAAACTCGAGACTGTTTTTGGCTGGTAGGAGACACCAGGAGCTAGGTTAGAGTAGGGTGCAGAGCTGGAGGCAGATGCAGAAGTGCCAAGGGTGAGATTGGTTGTGGGAGAACTAGGAATTGCAGTGAGTCTCCTGCTGATAGAACTTGGACTGACTGGACACTTCTGACTGGTGCCGAAACCTGAACTGCCATGGCTGTTTATATAAAATTAGTCCCAAACACTTCTTTATCCTCTAGATTACAGTCAGAATCCCTTGGGGATGCTTCTTAAAAATTCAAACTTTAGCATCATTCAGTCTTACTCAGACTGGGGATAGCATATGACTCAGCCATGCTGAACTAACCCCTTCCCTCACCTCTGACCAGCGCACCCCTCACACCCCCACACTTAAAGTTTGTTTTGTTTTGCTTTGGGGACAATTTTAAAATAATGAATCAATTTGTAAGTTTTGAATTTGCTCTTGGGAAATTTGAAGGAGAAAAAAAGTAGTGCTGTGTTTATTCTTGACAGGTTTTTAAGGATGTCTAGGCCATCTGAGTCATTCTCAATATCCTCCTAAATATTGTTAAATAATTAAGATTGTTATAGCTAGCTAGCATAATCAATCAAATTTATGATACAAGTAGATCATATTCTTCATCTGCTGTACTATGCTTTATAAAAATTTGAGATCCCATGTGTCTGATTGGGAACTAATTTTATAAATAGTTTATTATTGGAAATTTTTGTGTTGTGATAACTCTTGCTTCTCTCCACAACCTAGAATCTGCAAGGTCTCAGGTAGCCAACACTTAGATAAGTGTCATAGCATTTAGTCCTGTGGGAAAATACATACTTATTTATCATTATAGCATGGTGTTTGGGTTTGCAGTTCAGAGAAGAGTTGGGACTGCTTATGTTGAAGCTGAGGTAGAGAAAGATAAGTATAGATTAAACGAATTCATATAAAATAATTGAAAAAACATGCCAGAGTTTTGTATATTGTCAAATATGAACTAGTTTAATCTTATTACTTGGTAAAAAGCATGAAATGTGGGAAACAATCATGGTTATTACAAAAGGAAATTGTTTAAATTTGTTACTAGTATATTTCAAATAATGTAGGCCGCCTTTTGCTAAAAATAAATCTTTCACTAATTCCTTTTTTTTCAGGAATGAAATATCCAATTGTTATAAGGAATACAAAGGTAAAGATTTCTTAAGCAAAACTGCTTTCATCTATTTTATCTACTTTCATTCTGTCTCCTTCCTTAAAAAGTTGACTTAACCACAGTGCTGCATTTTATGTCACTGAATGAAATTTATCTAATGTAAAGTTATTCTGAGGGAAATTCTTTGAGTGCAATGCAACAACTTTTATTCTAAGAAGAGTTTCAGCTTGGAAATGTATTCACATAGTGATTGCTGGTAAGGAATAGGATTATGAGCACTTGGAGTATTTAATTTTAAGGCAAAACTGATAGATACTTTATTGTTTTACCCACTTATCTACATTAACTTATTAACTCTCTGCTAATTAGAAGACTTGGAGAGGGCAGATTGTACAGAGGGAGACGGACTAATTTCTTCCATCTTCACATAGGCTGAAACAAGAACTTTTGAATGGCATAGAAGTATTGCATTCAGTGTGTGTTCACTGAATGGTCAGAGTCCAGTCAGGAAAGCAGAGTCATTAATGAGTATAGTAGGATTTATTATAGGAATTAGACTTTCTGTAATTTTGAAAGGATCTGGGGGAGCAAAGGTTCAGAAGGGGAGTTGGTAGATCAGAGGTGTATCTGAGAAGCCAAGTGTGTCAAGCTGCTGAAGTAGAACTGCAAATGCAAAGCTCATGAGGAGATCTGGGGGATCCCTTGCCTCTGTGTCTACACTTAAGTAGTGGGCTAGGGCAGCAGTTGGTCAGTCTGATCAGTAATTGGGAGGATTTAGAGCTATATTCACTTGGCAGTAGGTATTTGTCACCACCTTGGACTAGAATGACCTTCAGAGAATAATGGCTGCTGCTTTACTTCTGCCTACCAAATCATGTGCAAGCAATTTACGTTTTGGTCAACTTTAAGTTGGAACCATACAGGGTAGGAGATTCTGTCAAGCATAGTTCCTGGCTTTACCAAACTGACACAGTGTAAACCCCTCCAGTCCATCCCTTTTTAATTTGGCATCCATTCATACCCCCTTAAACCACATTTAACTTCTAAATAAAGACAATAGTAAAATTATGCTTCCACCTATAAGGTACAGCTATCTTTCATACAGCTGAAGACATGCTTACTCTCTAAAAAATATATGGAGTATACTTTATCCATCTTTGGGTGATATTCATTTCTTTTTCTAGCTGAGTCAAACTCCTGAGAGAGGGGAGGAGGCATCTGAAAAAATGCAAAGGAAAGGGCTTGCAGAAATGACCGACTCAGCTGGTTAAAGTCCATTCCTGACTGCCCTCTCTCCCCCTCCAGGACTCTACAACTAACATGTTTTCCCATAGCTACCTCCCCCACCTCAAGGACTCTCCAACTCACATCTGTTGATTCATAGCTTGCTATCCAACTAATGTTCTTATCTCTGTAACTGTGTAGGAAAACTACTTTTACAAGACTGTGTAAAACTGGTTGTTATATTACAATTAGCGCTCAGCCTTTGGATACAAATCCGCTGAGAAAGAGATGGCATCAGTAAGTGCTACTTTTTACTTATAGCCTCAGTGTCCCTTCTCTCTCAGAATCTCATAACAGTATTGATAATGCCAAGGTCACAGGTTCTAGAAGGCAAAATGACCTGTAAATAGGTAAGACCAATGGCCTAAAAATTCCTCCCCTCTTACAGCCCCCCACCCAAAGCTCCCCCTCCTATCCTGAGTCATGAGGCACATGTGAAACCTCAAACAAAGGAATCACACGCCCCTTGCATGGATACTGCAGAGGTATATAAACTGTAATAAATCTAACCAAAGCGAACTCCGCAAGCCAATAAATTCTCCTTCCTCTAACAAAGTTGTCTGAACATCCAGTTTCCTCTGTCGGGTGTCGCTTCCTTCAATACTCCCTTTTTGAGACCTATAACTTCAATACTGAGATAAAAGTTAACCACTATTTAAGTGTATTATATTATATCAGTAATTTTCAACTGGGGATAATTTTGCCCCCCAGAAGACATTTGGCAATGTCTGGAGACATTTTGTGTTCTCATAGCTGGTAGAAGAGGGCAATGCTACTGGCATTTAGTAGGTAGAGGCCAAGGATGCTGCTAAACATCCTGCAGTGTAAGGGACAGGCAAAGAGATATGTGGCCCCAAACATCAAAATTTCAAAGTTGAGAAACTCTGGGTTAGATAATGGGGAAATGACAAAGATAGGTATATTCATCTTCTCAAGCTACCATAACAGAATACCACGGACAGGGTAGCCTGATCAACAGAATTTATTTTTTTTCATTCTTGGAGGCTAGAAGTCTAAGATGAAGGTGCCATCAGGATTGTGTCTGGTGAGAGCTCTCTTGGCTTGTAGATGTCTCTTCGCTGTGTCCTGCCTTCTCACTGTGTTCTCACATGGTCTCTTCTCTGTGTGTGCACATGTGCAGATAGAGCACACGAGCATGCAAGCACAAGTAATCTTTGGTGTCTCTTTCTCTTATAAGAATACCAGTCTTATCAGATTAGGGCTTTACTCTTGTGACCTCATTTAACCTTGATTATCTCCCTAAATGCTCTTTCTCCAAATATAGTCACATTGGAAGTTAAGGCTTTAACATATGAATTTTTGGGGGGAGAAGGGTGGGTAGAGGACACAATTCAGTTTATAACTATGAGGAATAAGAGATGAGTATAATTATAGATAAATATATTTATTTCAAAGTAAGGAAGAAATACTCATAACTACTACATTCCTTATTTATATCACCAATCATGTGGTCTTAGCTGATATTATAATTCCTTTCTTTTACTATTCATTCCATAGTCCCTTTGCCATTGGCAAGCATCTCAGCTGGTCTTGGTTCCTAGTTTGGTGGGTTAACTCATACTTTCATTCCTGAAGTGTCTATGCCATTAGCAGCCCTCCCTGTTGTGTGTTATAGTGGTTTCCATTGACCTTTATAACAACGCATGGGGATACTAAGAGATACCAGGAGACTGATATTCCATACATACTCTTTATCATCCCCAAGTTCTCTGGGTGGTAGCACATCTATTTCTTCTTGAGAGTCAAGATCAGCTACCCCGTTCAGTGCAGTTATCCTCTCTGCCTGTTGATCCACTGGCATGAGGAACCCAAAGTGGCCAGTTGTAGCTGTATCAATTTCTTTCATAATGGAACCATTGTTTATTTTCTAATGGAAGTATTTCTGTTTTGGGAACTAAGACTTCTAAACCATTAGAGCCCAAAGTTGTAGAGATAGGAAGCAGAAATTTGGATTAAGAGCAGGGACTAGTGGATCATTGTAAGGAGCCACTCCTGTTTCTACCTCTTGATTTCCAGACCTGTGAATCCTGGCTATGGGAGAAACAATACCATATAGTAGTCACTGATTTAGAACATATGCACCATCCTGGAAGACATTGCCCCAGCCTTGCAAGGTGTTGCCAGCCAGCTAGTGCTGTTATTGAATGTTCTAAAGCCCTTTCCACTTTGTCACCCAACAGCTTCAGGGTGATGAGGAAAACAATAAAATCAGTAAATTCCCCAAGCATGAGCCTGTTGTTATACTTCATTTACTGTAAAATAAGCTCACTGATCAGAAGTAATGCTTGTGAGTAAAATGCCATCATGTTAAATAAGGCATCCTATAAATTCACAGATGATGGTTTCTGTAGAAGCATTGTGGGCAGGGAAGACAAATCTATATCCAGAACAAATATCTGTTCCAGTGAGGACTAAGTGCTGCCTGTTTTTTTGATTGAAGTGATCCAGGGTCTATATCAGTGGCTCTATAGCTCTCTGCTGTTGGCAGATTGAACATTCAGCAGTGGCTGTAGACACATTAGCCTTGGTGAGTAAGTCCATGTCACTGAGCCCATGCATCACCTCCATCCTTGCTGCCATAACCATTTAGTTTGTGAAGCCATTGGGCAAGGACAAGAGAAAGAGGCTAACCAAAATCCGCAGAGTAAGTCATCTTGTCTACTGATTATTAAATTCTTCCTCTGCTGTGGTTACTCTTCGGTGAGCATTCATATGCAACTCAAATTATCTTTACCCCTGAGCCTGTTTGGAGAGGTCCATTCACATACCTTTTCTCCAGAACTCCTTTTCCTGACGTCCGGCCAAACCACTAGTTATTGCTTATGAAGCAGTGTAGATCCTTCTAGCCATCTCTCCTTCTAGGTAAGATAAACAACCAGGTATGGTGTTCAAAGTTCTGCCCACGGGGAGGTTGTCCCTTTACCACAGTCCTTTAGGGCCACTTCCAAGTGGGGCTCTGGTGCTATTGCTGTTCACATTCAATGGTGCCAGAATGTTGTGCAGAATCATTTGGGAACCAGGCCTCTATTTTTTCTTCCTTGGTAAACTGATCATGGAGAACTTCCCATGGAGAGTCAGGGGCAAGATGAGAGTGCAGAGGTAATTTAACAAGAATAGGCGTGATGGGAATTTGAGTCACTTACCTCTGCAACTTATTTATGTCAGCAGGACTTGTACAACACTGATCTTGTATATTCTACTTCCTCTTGATGACACACCCAATTTTATGGCTTGGTGAGTCAGACAATACCCTGTTAATAATAGGTAGTTCACATGGTAACTTGGTGACCTGTGGTCAAGTGTTGAGTCAAAGCCAGAAGCACTTTCTCAGAAGGAGGATAATTATCTGCAGAGGGTGCTGTAACTTTCCTCTAAAATCCTAAAGTTCTGTGCTCTGATTTGCCTACAGGGGACTACCAAAGTCTCCATAAAACATCACTATCTGCCACAGACACTTTGTTACCGTCAGATCTGCTGGGTCATGTGGCCCAAGTGTCAGAGTAACCAAGATCTCCATTTAAAACAGAATTAAAAGTCTGTTTTTGCCCCCATCTTCACCCAAGGGACATTTTTACTAGTGTATGGCATCGTGTGATGGAAGATATGCAAGGGCCTATGGGATACCAGTGGATATATATTTCACCCACAGTTACGTAGTTGTTGCCTTATATTTTGGCACTTTCCTTTAGTATAGTTAAATAATATAATTAAAAAGTTTGAGTCAACTTACCAAGTTGAACATCTATACTTTTATGAGGTTAAAAGAAAGGGATTTTAAAAGTAAACTTTTTGGGAGAGGATTTGCAAACTAAAGATGTATAGATTGCATATGGGGGGAAAGTCTTTTTCACTTATGAAATAGCAAAAAAGATGCATAGTTGAGTTTTTAAAAGAAATATATGTTCGAACAAATGCATCATTCAATGTTTACCTTTATTTCCATTTTGGATGTGAAATTAATGTGTTACTTAATTTAATTATTATTTCATATATAGCATAAAATTATCTCAGAGACCTAAGATAGTTGTTAATCATTTCTTTCTTTGGAAATGTTCCTTGAGTTTTTAAAAGGGAACTTCTAGGCTATTTACATGCTGAACCATTCTACAAATTCTCTTATCTTTACATTTATCATAGAGCTTATCTACATTTTATGTTCTAAGAAAAAAAGAATTGCTGACCTTTCAAAGTAGGAACGAATAGATTTATATCACATAAAAATACTTCTCATACTTTGGTATATAACTCTAGATGAACAGGAAAGATATTTAGAAGAAGGTATTTTTTTGTTGTTGACATAGCCCTTTAACTTCAAGAGTCTTAAACTATCATGGTTTAGTCTAGCTAATTTGAACTCAACTACGAAGTTTCATCTGATTTTTGTCAGAAACGTGACTTGTATAACTCTTGAAAGGAGGCTTACCTTGTAGCTAGGCAAAAATAGGATGCATGCAGAAATAGAATAAGGCTGAATCAATAATGGCTGGAAAGAAAGAATGTTGAGACAGATGAGAATGCTAAGTCCTCAGAAACAGGTCATTTAGGGAGGAAATCTTAAGAACAAGAAATTACCTGGAGCGAGGAGATGCTAGTTGTTCACTCTGTGAGAAGTAGAGATGGGAATTGGAGTTTGGTAGATGATAATTACGAAATAAAATTTATGGGAAAATGCAACAGCCCAAGATTGGCGGTCTCCTAGATGTTAAAGCAAACCTTGACTGTAGTGTGTGTTCTCAGTAAATGTGGATTGAATGAATGAGGTTTTGAAAATAACCTCACTTTGTAAAGTAGATATTGATCAGGAAGGAGGAATTGGTTGTTGGTGGGTTAAGGCTGGAGTGTGAAGCAACCTGAGAATAATAGTATAATTATTCACAGATAAGACAGGAGAAGCTGTCTGAAATACAAAGAGGCCAAATTGGGGCCATCTAAATGCAGTTTGCTTCTTCAGGCAACAAATAATTAAGTTCCATGCTAGTAAATGTGTATGTGTATGTATGTGTGCATTTTGTTAATTATCTGCACTAGGTCAACCATTGTATCTCTAATTTATAGTACAAAATTTAAGGTGACATCCTCTTGTATGCCACTACTCTAAGTTTCTAGCTGCCACCTAAATGCTGAAGAATTTATTTTGCTGATACTTGTATTTAATTTTCTGTTTTAAAAGGAATAAAAACAAAAAAAAAATCTATTTCTATACCCTTATTATCTTTTCTATCATCTGTTTTTCTATTCTTGATTTATTCTTCTCCTCTCTGCTTCTTACAAATCACTATTCATTTCTTTTGCACTAGGGAGAGGAAGTTCAATGTCAATATGTTGTGACATGTGCAGGACTTTACTCAGACCGTATTTCTGAGTTGAGTGGCTGCAATCCCAATCCTCAAATTGTACCTTTCCGGGGAGATTACCTGCTCTTGAAGCCAGAAAAATGTTATCTTGTAAAAGGAAATATTTATCCGGTAGGTAATGATGCTCCTGCCTTCTCACCCTTCTCAAGATGACTATTGGCAAAAAGTGAATGAAACAACTTTTATCTGGTTCAGAAGTAAGCAGTTTTTTGAAGGGCTTTTTGTGTAAGCATTTCACCTGTTTCTCTTATGTCATATCCCTAAATCTTTATTCTGATATCATAATCATTAAATTATACTTAATTGCCCATAAGTACATGTCTCCAGAAAACACTAGTTTACTTTGGGAAGGGCTATCAAAAGAGAACCCGATTGATTCTTCTTCCTCTCTGGTGGAAGGAGCACTCATAAGGGAACTTTTCCTTTTAGCATACCCAGATACCCAACCCTCTTTTTCAGTTCACTAACTATAGGTTCAGAAAAGGGATGTGGCCACTCTATAGTTTCATGGTATAGACAACAGAGCCCTTTAAATGAAGAGTTCCTTCTGTCTGGAACTACTAGGTTGAAATTACTAGTATTTAGCTACTTACTGTTTTTGACCTTGCCAAAACATCCATTTCATCTGCTTCAACCTAATACACTCCAATTTTAAAAAACCTGTGCTATAAATGTGTGTTTTTCTGGTAGCTCTGATTTTACTTGCCAGCCACATATATCCCTAGTTGGGAGGCAGAGGGTTTGGGGGGAGGGCAGGGCAGGGAATAACCTGAAGTAGGACAGTTCTTTTATCTTTACCCAGGAAGAGGAATAGATGGGACAGTGTATATTAGTACCAGTAGTATCAGTGTTTCCTGCTTGGCATTTCTAGGCAGAAGCATGTAAGTAGAAAAGTATATCTGAGTACAGGTCAAAGTAATGAAAATTAAATGCATGGGAAGAAAGTGATTTATATTTCCAGTTTAATGTTTGAGCACATACTAAAATGCAGTATGAAATGGGGCTAACAACTCTTCACTGTGTTAATTCCGTAGGTCCCAGATAGCCGGTTTCCTTTCCTAGGAGTTCACTTTACACCAAGGATGGATGGCAGTATTTGGCTAGGGCCTAATGCAGTTCTTGCCTTTAAACGAGAGGGCTACAAACCCTTTGACTTCAGTGCCAGAGATATTGTGGATATAATTACCAAGAGGTAACTTTATTTATTTAAAAAAAATGATTTTATGTGCTTATATTTTTAATGTGGGAAATTTTGTCTTTCTTGATATTCTGTTTATTGGGTAAATCTTCGTATTTGTGATTGATATATTGATTTTTTAATTAGTCCAAATTAAGAGCTTTGTGGAATAAGCATAATGTTTTAACTACTTCAAGAAAATCTTGATAATTCAGGGTTATGTCTTGGTTTAAAAGAACAAGACTAAGAACTAGTCACACATCTGACAATCTAAATCTTGTTTTGCTAAACTTCTAGTTGAGTTTAAAAAAAAAATAAAGAAATTTCTCTTAAAATCAGTAGATGACTCACTCTGATAAGATCATTTCAAACCAGTTACTATCATTTTGAAAACCACTGGAGAAATTTCTGATAGCCAAAGTTATTTCCTTTTGTGGAAAGCTAACAATAATATTGTGTTGATCTGGTACGTAGATTCTTTTATTATTGTAAGAACTCAATGAGGTATTTTTGGGGGTCCTTTTAGCAGTGTTGCTTGCTCTCCAGCGGGTTTCATATCAAAATTACTAGAAAGTTTTTTAAACTGTACTTGAGTTTTGCCTTCCACAGATTCTGAAGCAGGAGGTTTAAGATGGGGCTTCCCAGCATGTGTGCTTGGAAAAAAATAAATATATATACATAGGCTCTTCAGTCCCACATGAGGATCACTACTAGGGTATTTTACCTCTGGCTGAGAGAAGAAAAGTAGGGTAAATGCCTCAATTCTTTAATGCCCCGATTTCAAGATCTGCTAATGCCTTTTAAGTGTGTTTTGAAAGCATGAAACATTTGTATTAGAAAGCCTTGCTGTTGGCAGGCTTTATAGAATCCTAGTTTGAAACCAGTGTTCCCTGGGAATTTGAGTTTGAAAGGTTTTTACCTTTGGAGTTTGGAAGGTATTCATTTGGTGAAGTTTCCTTCTTTTATTGGCCAAAAGTTGATTTTCTTTTAATATGTGGTTTTTCTGACTTTGACTAGATTTTTGTGATGCCTCCCCCCATCTAAATCTAATAGTTGTAAAGGCGTTTTATAGTAATAAAAAATTCCTTTTTTCTCATAAAGATTTTATTTTCTTTGCTTTCAGTGGCTTGATTAAACTGGCGTTCCAGAATTTCTCCTATGGAGTCAGTGAAATGTATAAAGCCTGTTTTCTCAGTGCAACAGTGAAGCACCTTCAAAAGTTTATTCCTGAGATTACTATCAGCGATATACTTAGGTAAAGAAAAACCATAGGATTGTACATACAATCATGACCTGGGTGAACTTTTGAGGAGGTGATTCGTAAGCATACTTTCAGACAGTTGTGTTCACTGAATCTTTGTGTGCTCTCTCCCAACAAGTTGTTGAGTTCCCTTTGCAGTGCCTATATTGGCCCTTGCTGCATCATGGCCCTTAGTGCTTGAACTAGGTCCATTTATAATTATCTAGACTACCTTATAGCATTAAACTGAAATCTTCATTGCAGCTGTATTGTGATTCCGCCTTCGCCATTGTGCCTAGCTATCACTTGTGATAAAAACATCTTGCTTGAAATTTTTAAAATCCCCCTGGCCTCTGCCTCTTGTGATTCCAAAGCCTTTTATCTTTAATTCAGTTAAGATCAATGATCACCATGTTAACTAGTTAGGTAATAAACACATTAAAACATCTATTTTGATTGATTCTTAAAACTTTTTAGAAACACACTCCTATACCTAGCATCTTAGCTTATTTCTTCTCTACTGGTTTTTTTTTTTTTTTTTTCTTTCTTGGGTCCTACTCCACTCAGGGACTTTATTTGCAGGACAGAAGTGGGAAGTAGTGTGGTAACCATCAGTCTGAGTCCTTGTTATGTGGGTAACAAGGAAATGAGGCAAAGGAAGGATTACTTAAAATGCTTTTTTTTTTTCTTAAAGATAAAAGGCTTTCTGGACTTGATCTGTAAATTGTCCTAAATACTACCCACACTATTTCCTTTTCTCTTTGGTGATATTTTTAGGGTGTTCACCTTTTTCCCTGAACTAGCCATTCGTTAGGCCTAATCAACAGCGTACTTTGAAGTACCCCTCCTTTATGAATCCATCCCCTGAATTTCTAGACAGCTAAGTGTCTGTTGTCTCAGTAACAGCTGCTGAACTTACCTGGTGTAAAATGTCAGCAGCTTGACTCTGTATCTGGGAAGAGAGCAATAATCATGTCAGCTGTCTCCCTGAGGGGAGCATCCTGGTCTAAATCTGACTCGAATGTATCATTCTTAGACCAGCCTCTTTGAATCCTTAGAAGAACTGTTAAAACCCAGGTAATGTTTTTGCTCTTATCTTTTTCGCCCCTCTACTTACCTTCTGAAATAGAAGGGATAAAAATATCTAGGTTTTATTTTCTTTCACTCACCTGTAAATAAAGGCTTTTATGTTTTCAGTGGTCCACTTTAGCAACTTGCAATGTTTTATATTTGAAAATAGGTTGGTCAAATCTGGTGTCTGTCACTGCTACTAGTATTCCTTGGAAAACACAATAGGTGGGGATAGTGAATTCTGTGTTTAAACAGTTGCAGTGAATTCACTACGCATATTTAATTACCACCCTTTCATAGAAGCCTGAGGAAAACTTTTTATACCAGTGAATTTCATATGGTAGAACTGGACTTGGGGCTTGTGGATTTTGGTGAACACTCCTCTGTGGGTATAAGGGTGTGAATTTCAGTTACCAGTTTCAGTGGCAAGTAGTAGAGGATGGAATACAGCACTGTAGGCAGGTGCATTTAGGGACAAATTCAGTCCAATCACAGATGAGTTTCTCTTTGGAGACAGAGAAGCTGTACATATTTAGCAATTTACTCCTTCCCTTTTACTCCATTTCTGTAGCTATCGTATGCAGGAAATTATCAGTAACAAAAAGGAAGTTATAGAAGATATGTTTGATATCATTTATATAAGTTTACACAATATCATATATTATTTATGGATCACACATGTAATGTGAAAATAAAAACAAGTACAGTGGTAAACATCTAATTCAGGAGATAGTTACTTCAGGGGAGAAAAGGGAGTGGGATTCAGAGAGTTCCACAGGGGGCTATTATTTCTTAATAGCTTTATTTCTTAAGCTGTTTCATAAAAAAATAGGTGTTGATTATGTTATTGTAACATGCCTGACATATTAAATAATAATAACAACAAAGATCGATAGACTTTCCTACATTTTGAAGTCCAAGTCTTGCCTATCTTGCACTATAGTAAAATCATCAATCCCTATCATTAGTATTGAGGCAGAAGCAAATTAAGCAGTTCTAGATAGTGAAAGGGAACCGAAGCAGTACTTTTAGTGAATTATTTAGCTCAGGCTGGTGTCCTTAAATTGCAATAACCACCAAAGGGCATCTGGCTTGACTTCTCATTGCCTAGCCAGAACATCTTGGGCAATAACTTACTGGTGAACATTGGAATATAAAGTTATAATCTGTCAAATATATTCATTAGGTGTACAAACTTCTCATTGTAACATCATGACCTCTAAGGTTCTTAATTTTAGCTCCAAAGTCCTTAAATTTATTCTGTGATTAATTTTGACATGGTCATCTAACAGCAGTTTCTATTTGTTAAGCATTGTAAGGATGTAAAAGACAAAGATGTATATGCCAAGATCCCCTTTATTCCCCACCCTTCACTTTGAAAATTTCTTCTTTGGGGAATTTCTTATTTAGGCAAGATGTTTTTATCATGAGTGATAGCTCTAAAGATCATACTGTGTCATTGTGAAATGCAAAGGTGAAAGCCAAATATGCTTGCAGTAAAGGTGATATAGATCAGGGTTTGTCAGTCTTGGCACTGTTAACATTTCGGGGCAAATAATTCTTTGTTGTGGGAAACTGTCCAGTTCATTGTCGGAGGTTTAGCAGCATCGCTGGCCTCTATCAACTTGATGCCAGCAGTCACGACAACCAAAAATGTCTCCAGACATTTCTAAATGTCCTCTAGGGGGCAAAATCTACTGTTGTTGAGAACCACTAGTCTAGAGAATTTGGTAACCCTCACACTACAAAATACTAAGAAAGTATGGAGAAAAATATAATAAAAATCTTTTGAACTACATATAGCTGAGAATGCAAAAAAGTAAGGGGCCATCTCAGGAGCAAAAACAAAGAGGAAATTGAAAACCTGAGTACTAAAAGGACTTGGTTCTGATGCTGTCCAGGAGGAGTAGAGAGGATTTGCTAGTTTTGATATAAATATGTGAGTTTTAGTTTTAATTGATATTATGTGATTTTCATACAGTAAAACAATACAGATCTTAAGTACTCAGTGAATTTTGACAATTGTATAGACTCATGTATCTACCACACAAAACAAGATATAAAACATTAGGGACTTATATTTTAATTTCCACTCAACTACTAGAAAAAAGGCCTTGGGTCTATAAAAGTTGAAACTGAGACCCCAGTGTAAAGCCAGGGACCCTTGAAGGGCTACACCCTCAGTGAAAAGGAAGTCTAGGAAAACAATTCCCCTTGGCACCAGAAAGTGTTAAAGAATTTTGTCTGTCCTGGTCTTGAGGGAAGTGGGGAGTGTGAGGTAGATGGAATCTCCTGAAAATCTAGAGCCCTGGGCCTGTCCTCACAAGTGCTTGGGATTTGAATTTATAACACCCAGCTTAATCTAGGAATCTTAGCTGAGAAATTAGTTTTAAAAGTAGGTCCGATTTATTTGGATCCTGCTTCAAACTAACATTTCTCCCTCTCCCTCCTTCTCTCACATTAAATAGATTAGGGAGAGAGAGAGTGCAAATCAGGATAATTTCACCACAGACTGAATATTGTTGGTACTAAGCAATTATTCATTTTGCATTATTATTATTTTTAAGAATCCTTTTAAAAGAAATATACATTGATGTGAAATGATGTGCCACCTGGGATTTGCTTTAAAATAATCCAGTGGAGAGAGGTGGACAGCGAGTGGGTATATAGCTGTAACAAGATTGGCTGTGTATTGATTATTATTGGAATTGGATAATACGTACTTGGGATTTTATTATACTGTTCATTTTATGCTTGTACATGTTTAAAAATTTCATTAAAAAAAAAAAAAGTGTTCCCAGGATAGCAATGAACCTGGAATACCTGATAGGAGCAAATGTAAAACCTCTGTGAAGGGACAAAACCTCAACCCAACTCCCATAGCATTCCCTGCTGGACAGAAATTTACCATCAAAAGTTGCAAAGCATCATAAGTGAGACTAAGCGGATAGAATAAATACCAGAATTAGATCCCTCACATCTTTGGGCGATAGTAATTTTAGGAACCATAAAGTGAATATGCTCCAGTGAATTAAAAACAAAAAGAATGGAAAACATGAAAAAGAATAAGACCAAAAAACAAAACAAACCAAAAACAACCACTAGGCACATTTGGAAACAAACTAATTAGAATTTCTAGAAATGAAAAATATAGTTCTTATCTTAAATTTTAAAACTCAAATAACTAAGTTAGACAGCTGGTTAAATCTTAAAAGAAAATTAATAAATTGAAAGTTAAATCTGAAGAATGCAGAAAACAATATTGCAAAATAAATACATCATGTGGAAATTAAAAGATGTGGAGAAGAAAATGAGAAGATTCTAGCCTGTATGACATAGGTGTTCCAGAGAAATTGAGAAGAGGCAATAGTATGAAGAGGTGTATTTGAGAATTTTCTAGAATTTACAAAAAATACATAAAATTCAGGATACACAATGAATCCCACCTGAATAAATAAAACTGAACACAAAAATGGAAACGATTATTTGCCTTCCAAATCAGGTGAAGGAGGAAAAAAATATAGAAAACACAGTAAGGAAGAAAGGAGGTGGGAAAACTCCAGAATAATCAGGTTAAATAGCATACAATAAAATGGTAGAAATCAAACATACCAATAATTACAATAAATGTAGATGTCCTTAATAGTTAAGGTGGAGATTGTCAGGTCAGATTTTAAAAATTCCATCTATGTGCTAGACAAATGCTTATTAGAAGAAAGATGAGTACTGGGTTTATTTCAAATGAAATACATCATAAGGCAAAATTATTATTAGAGATAAAGAAAGTCATCCTAAATTTGATGCATGTAACATGAAATACAGAGAACAAAAACTAACATATCTACAAGCAGAAATCAATAAATCCACAATTGTGGTGGGTGATTCTAAGACATGTCTATTGATAGAAGAGATCAAGCAAATAAAATATAGGAAATTTGAATAATACTTGATTGAATGGATTTCTAGAACTCCCCCACTCCCATTACAGAATATTTGTGTTATTCAAGACCTCAAAAAACATTTACAAAGGCTGAAAATGTCCTAAGCCCTAAACCACATTTCTCTTGTCACAATCTAGTTAGGTTGAAGATTAGTAGCCAAAATACCCTTCCTTCATGTTTAGAAATTAACATGGAACTGTTTACTTTCCCCCATACCACCATTCTAAATTTAAATATGCTCATGTGAACTTCTACTTTTAGCTTATTTGGAACTGGCCAAAGATGTCAGGTGTACCCTGTCATAGATGTTTTCTAGCCCACCGGATAATGCCTGTCACAGAACAATAAAACAGTAAATACAGTGCTTCTCAGATGACTGAGTGCTATGAGTTATATATTTACCTATTTTGTCTGGACATATTTAAGGGTCTAGGATGTACATTCCCATTAAAATTAGCTACAAATATAGTAAAATACATGGCTACAAATAGTGCTAAACCATTAAATGTTTGTTTTTTCATCTATTAAAATAGAATTTTTAAAAATTAGAAGTCAAAAAATTAAAAGTTTCTGACCTTATTGAATACTTCCTATATACAAGATACAAATCTAGAAATAGGAGTGAAGAAGAGGTGGTGTACAAGGTGCTGTCCTTACCCTTAAGACATTTATGGTTTATCTTAACTGAAATTTCAGATTATGATTCTCATTTCAAGCTGAGGTATTCTGAGGGGGAATGCCTATATGTAATCATACAAAGAAAACCCCTGAAGCTGCATTAGGTACTGAAGAGAGAACATGAGGAACTTGATAGTTTAAAGATTTCATGTTAAATAGTTACTTTAGTTTGAACTAAAATGAGATCCTTAGAAAAACTTAATATTGTATATCGTTTTTTATAGTTTAAATTACAGGTCTTGAACACTTAGGCAGGAATATAGGGAACTTGAGAATATAATTGGTGTTTGTAAGCAAAATAAGTAGACACATTTTTAACTGTAGTTAATTAGTATTAACTTTATTTATTTAGAAGGAGTAAAGGGAATGTACTAACTAAACCTCTATAGAAAGGAAAGTTTTACTCTGAACACTCACCATCAGTGGCTGGTTATGCCACTGTGTGTCCCCTACATGTTGGCTTTCTGCCAGATAAAAAGAGAGAGACAAGAAACTCATAAAAGAAACTCTCAACAGAAGCAGCAGCATTGTCCAAGAAAAGGGGAGAAATGCTGCTTTGATGAGTTGTGAAAAACCAGAAATATAAAATGTATGACATAGGCCACATGCTGGCTGACACACTGATATGTATCCTTACCCGAAGAAATTTTAGTTTTGGTCTTATTCTATTTTATGTTCTAAGTGTTATATCTGATCCTTAATTGGAAATCCTTACAGCTCAAAAATCTCTTGCCCAGATTTCCTGCAAGTTTCTGTAGAGCAGGTACTTACTTTTATTATAGAACCTTTCACCCTTGTTGTAATCTTTATTTATCTTTCTACAAATGAAGCATCTCGCTGTGTAACTTCAGGCAAGTCGCTTAATGACTCTGTGTTTCTTTGCTGTTAAATATAAATTCTTAGAGTTGTTGTGAGGATTCAATGAGAGAATTCCTAGCACAGAGTAAGCACTTGGTAAGTAATAGCTATTATTATCATTATCTCTCCTCTGCCAGGCTGAGGTCTTAGAGGGCAGTGCTCTTGTATTGTTCTTCATATCTTCCTCAAGTACTTATCTGCATTGGTCCAATGCAGAATCAATAAAAGTGTTTAATATTGTTGCCTGATTTCTTGAGTCTTGGCAGTGGGTATGAGGCAGCTGTTTTCAAACTGGGTTTTCTGGAATAGTTTCAATGAAGGTGCGTTTGGATTTCAAAAATATTTTGTTCACGTTTCATCAGTGAATTTTTAAACTATCTTAAAAACAAACAAAAAAATCTAATTTGTAAACTCAAGTGTTATAAAACAGAACTTTTAGTAGTAAAGGCTCTTACTGTATTAATATGCTACCAAGTTCATTTTTGTGCTTTTCCTGTCATCTCTGTTTTTAATTGAAAGTTATCCTGATATTGAAGGCTAAACCATTAAAAATAAAAACAAACTACAAAAAGGACTCGCTGCCATTTGAAAACATTTTTCTCCATAAATTTTAATAGTGTACAAAATACACACACAAAATAGAATTCTGTACCAGATATAGGAATGCAACTGACATGCATATCTCTTGCTTTCATTGCTTTGTATTAATCAGAAGAGCCTTATTATTCTCATTAATTTTATAACAAATTCATTTTATAAACTTAAATAAAAAATACATCTATTCTAATTAAATATGGATTTATCTGCTACTTTGGGAAAGAACAGCTATTTATAACTAACTTACCTATTTGTATATTCATTTGATAAGCATTTATTGGCACTGTGAAGTGGCCGGCATTATGCTCTAGGCTGAGGATGTAAGTTTTACAGGCTACAACTGACAGCCTTTGGCTAAATACAAACCTGTTGATTCCACATGATTGTGCATTTAGAAGAATAAAGAAGGCTTTATTGCTTTAAGAATACTTTGAAAATGCTGACTTTTAAAGTGTCCTTTTTTATCCAGTCAGTTGACTACCATTCTTGGCTTTGCAGAGGACCAGCTGGAGTAAGAGCCCAAGCCCTGGATAGAAATGGAAATCTGATAGAAGATTTTGTATTTGATGGAGGAGTTGGGGTTATTGGAAATCGCATTCTTCATGTGAGAAATGCACCTTCCCCTGCTGCTACGTCTTCCCTTGCAATTTCTGGAATGATTGCAGATGAAGTGCAACAGAGATTTAAATTGTAAATAATGAAAGGAGCTATATATGCATTTTAATCTCCACATTCAGCAATAAGAATATACTAATTGCATTCTTTAATTTTAAGAAAAATGGCTTGAAAATATTTTTAGATCTCTCATTTAGATAACCACTGAATTGTTAACATGATATAACATTGAAATAATTATTTTTTAAAGTCCATGCTCTTATACTTTGTGAGTAAAGAGGAAAGGTACAGTTGTATCTGTCCTGAATCCCTGACTTCGTTAATATTTCTAAGAACAAACTTTGCAGAGAAATTCAAAGCCTTTATTATTCCCAGTCTCTTTATAAATGGGTTGGTGTAGAGTCATCACTAAATCTAAACAGCAGTACACTGTGAATGCTTGTTGACAACTCATCAATTTTCTATGGTTGAGAAAATAGAAGAACTTAGAACTGATAGGTTTTTATGAGAACAGTTTTAGAATCCTGGCACTGATATACAAAACTCTGTAATTTAAAAAATTATTTACCTCATATCTCTGTTCTTCAGTTACACCAAGATTCACAAATTTTGGCCAAGATCACTGATGATCTATGCCTACTTGGTTTTTCAGGGATCCTATAAACTTTTATGAGGATATTTCTTCATTTTTGGAAAATACCTAACTTTGAGGCATTCACTTTTGTAAACCGCAAAAGTGCCTTACGTGCATGTATACTTCATGAGTATTTAAAATTGTTGGCCAGCGCCAGATTGTACATTACATACAATATAAATGTGTTTGGTATCTGTGAAATGATTCTTGCAATTCAGAAAGTTGGAAAGTAGAAATATAAATGAAAATATGGCAGCCTACTGATTGGGGAAACTTTTATTACAGAACCACCATTTAGGTGAGACATTTTTATCCATTCCCTCACATATACTCTCTCAGGATTAATCTACTCTTGATTTTTTTCTTTCCTTTTATCACTCCAAAGCTGTGTGATGGATGAGTTAGAAGGATGTGCATTTTGGTTGATAGGAAAAACTTTTGTTTTCTTCCTTTTCATTTCAAGCCTTGGTGATTACATTGATTGAGCTACCTCATCCCATTAATTCAAAAAGCTACATATCATCAGCTCATGTTCAAGAAGTAGCACACATCCCAGGTAAATAGACTAGGCAATTATTTGAAATTTGGGATGAGTATATTAGAAGCATTCAGAAACCATTCACAGAGGAAACAAACCCCAATAGTTCTTCATAACAACCGATTCCTTCAAGAAATGTGACACAGAGGATATTTTTCTGTTCCATTACAAGACTATTAAGAGATGGAAAATATTACAATTTTCTATTTCATCAGCAGCAGGACTACATATGCACTAAGCTGTGAAAGACTGAAATTACAAAAATAACTGTCCTAATTAAAGTACCCTCATTCCATGTGGTTCTCTACTATACCCTCCAAAATTACAAGTGAAAAAATTGAAAGTGTTTTGAATGGGTAGGTTAGTCTCTTTGTAAAACATTTTGTATTTATGTCAATAGGGGTTTGTTGTGTGATACTGATATAATATTTAAAAGTTTTGTGTTTCTAAGAGAAGAAAATGTATATTAATATTAAAAATATTTTAGTAAAAATATTTTAGCCTTGGTGTTATGAGCATAATTTTTAGTTTCATAAAAACTCTGATTCAGATAAAGTTTTGTTTGTAAAACTTGAACTATCATAGCTTTGTAGCCGCCAATATTTAAAAAAAATTTTGTCTTTGCATACAATAGAAAAATCAGGTAGAGTAGTTATATTTTGGGTAAAAAGTGGAGCTCTTCCTCGCAAAAATGGCTTTCCATCTGCAAGTGATGGCAATATTTGTCTGACCTCAGTGTCATCTTCATACCCCTGAGCACTAAGGAACATTATTTCTTTTCCATAGGAGAATGTATATTTTTCTATAGGAGAATGTATATTATAATTCATGTGCTTTTATGGGTGGGGGAAATCCAATAAATAAATCAATCTTTCAGAATTTTATTAAAAATCCTAGTTCTTGGGAAAACATTTTTGGTATGCTATCTCTTACAGGGAGTTGGCTTCTGGGCGTGAGCCTCCCCATTACAGGGCAAACGATTTATCTGAGTACCTGCTCCAACTTCTCTCCAGCAGGTGGACTGTAAGAGAACCAAAGTTAGCTACAGCAATGAACCGTGAAAGTGAGCAACAATGACGTTTGTTTTCTGTGATATTGCTTTGGTTACTGACGGACAGCACTTAGTGTGTTTAGTACTTTCATTTTTATTTATTTATTTTTATTTATTTATTTTTATGCATACAGCACCCAGTCTTCCTAGGTGGAATACTTTCATTTTTAACACTTGAAGCAGGTGCTTATAATGAGGTTAGAAATTTTTTATTAAAAAAAATGACTTTTAATTAATGTTTTGAATAAATACAACATTCATATAGTTGAGAATTCAAACATCACAAAAAGGTACACTGAGGTCCTCTCTCCTCCAGCCACCCAGTCCTCATCCCTGAGGCAACAAGAATTGCCCATATCTTGTGCAGTTTTGCAGATTGTGTGTGTGTGTGTTTGTGTGTGTGCATGATCTCCTTAATTTTTTTTGCACATGGTAACCTACTCTGAATATTACATTATACTTCCTGCTCTTTTCACTCTGCTGTGTATCTTTGAGAATGTTCAAATGGCCTTGAACACAGTGACCTGGTTCTTTTTATGTGACCTTATAGGTTTCATTCTATGTATTTATGATTATTTTTTGAGCAAGTCCCTATTCCTACTGATTATTTAAATTGTTTATTTTGAGTGTATTTTTGTTTTGCTTTTGCTGTAATGATACTGCAATGAATAACCTGTGCTAAGTCATTTCACATCCGAGCAAGTATATCTATAGAATATATTCCTAGAATTTGCTGGGTCAAAGGGTGTGTGCCTTTGCAATTTTCATGGATAATTGTCAAGTTGCCCTTGATGGAGGTTGAACCAATTTACACTCTAATATATTAGAGTATCTCTTTTCCCATACTCTCACCAACATAGTGTATAATCAAACTTTTTGATCTGTGCTATTCAAATAAGTAAAAATGATAACGGTATAATATAAATTTGCATTTTTCATAATATGAAGTCAAACATCTTTAATATGTTGAGACATACTTCCTTTTCTCTGAACTATCTTTTCATATCCTTTATCCTTTTTTTCTTACTGAGTTTTAGTCTTAATTCGTAGGAACTTCTTTAGATATTAGGAAAATTAACAACTAAGGAAATGAGTTGAAAATATTTTTTCCAGTTTGTCATTTGTTTTTTGGCTTAGCTGGTGGGTTTTTTTTTGGGGGGGGGCATACATTTAAAAAATAGAATGTATCAACCTTTTAGATTTTATATCACAGCAGAAAGATTTTTTGTACTCAGAAATATAATTTATATTACAGAATAATTATAAACAAACTATTCTATAGTTTTATTTTTACATTTAAATCTTTGGCACATCGTAGTGTAGAGTGCGGGGGTATAGATCCAGTATTTTTTTCTAGATGGCCCATTTGTCTGGTTGGGAAACTTTTTACTGGTGTCATTCTTGGATTATCCTCCAGACGCACATGGATCACATTTCTGTTTGCCTAGCCCAGAGATCACAACTCAGATGCCTGTAGAGACTAGGCAGGTTACATAAAACGGTGAAGAGTGCCAGGTAGGGAATATAGCCAACTGGAAATGGGATGGCATACTTTGCTGAAGAGGGCAGCCACTACTCACTGTCTTCTGATTATTCTCTTGTAGGAATGCAGCAGGGCCCAGTGTTGCCAGATCTTTGTCAAGAGAAGCTGGAAATCCAGATAAATAAAGTCTCTTGATTTTAAAATGTTAACAATTCAACAAATTTAAATATAGCTTTGGCTAAACAAAATGTGTCTCAAGCCAGATTTGGCCTAGGGAAGGCTTCCCATATCCTTGGCCAAGAATGAATCTTCCCACTAACAACTTTTCTACAAGAAAATACAATCACAGTCTAGTAGTTTGACAGCTTAACAGTTTATGGCTGGAGTTTAGGAGAGAAAAGACACTGTGTAAGCCAAAGTCTTTGCCCTCACTGATTGAAAGATTACTTAGAGAAATATAAACATTTCGCTATTCTACCTTTTATCCCCAGGACATGGGAATGTGGATGTTGCCACTTATTAGAAGACATTCTTGATTCAGTGGATACTTGGATTAGAACAATTTAACTCTTAAGTTTTCGAACTGTAACTCTGTCGTGCTGATCTTGCCAAATGACAAAATAGTGGATGTTTTGGTGGGGCGGGGTGGGGTGTGGGGGAGAGGATGTCAATTGCTTAGCTACTTATCCTGGAACTGAAGTGAGGCACAGACATTTGTTTTGTACCCTGTTCTCTTCCTCATTGCTGGTGGCTGGGAACAATCTATTATAATTCATGTGCTCAGCATCTTTAGTGGGATAAAGTTTATGATAATAAAGTTTCCAGAGTCATTCCTCTTCAACTCAGGAAAGCTTATGGTCTGGGGATCTTTTGGGGGTTGCTATTGAATATGGCTGGGCCACAAGGGCAGATTCAGATTTTGTGGGACCTAACGCCTCCACAATTTGGAAGACACCATTAAGAAAACAATTCAAAAATATCTTTGGATAGTCTTAGGAAAACGATACGATTTTGTGAACACACAGGGGACCGTGCAAGTGAAGGCTCTTTAAGTTCAATCTTCATTAACGTAATTGTCATTTGCCTTTTCTAACCCCAAGGTGTGCTAAAGGGCTTTCCACGTCTCACCTTCAGTTCCCAAACCACTCTATGAAATAGTTACTATCTCTTATATACAAATTAGCCACGTAGAACACAAAAACGTTAAACATCGTGCCCAGCCCTAATGCCCCTTTCTCTTCATATCCCTATCCCGCTTCCCACGATTGAAGTCCTGGGGCTCGAGGCGCTGCAGGAGTCAGGACTGTCTTGAGAAGGTCGAGAGGAGGGAGAGTCTGTGTAAAACGCAGATCGAGAGGAGGGCGAGTCTGTGTAAAACGCAGGAAGTTGGGGAGTCAGTCTGGAACAGGCTCCCAGCAAGTCCCTGGGAGAGGCAGACTCCTGCGGCCGGGCCCCCACATTTCCGCGCCCCCGCGCCAGGCCGGCGCTCCGCACGCTCCGCGGCGCGCATGCTCCGTGCTGGGCTTATCCCGCGACCTGGGATAATGAGCCTCGGGCCGAGGGGGCGGGCCGAGCGGCGAAGGTTGGGACCCAGAGCTCGGCGGCGACCCTGCGGCCCTGTGCGCGGTTGCAGAAGGGGCGGCGGCGGTCGCTAGCCCTGTGCGCACCGGAGTGTGGCTCGCTCGCGCGACGCGCTCGCCCGGTCGGTCCCAAGGGCCCTCTGGAGGTGACTCGGGAAGGCTGAGCAGGGCGGCGTTGCAGATTGGGAGG